GATCTTGTATTTTTGGAGAGAAGTACAACCGATTTTATACTACACAGGACGCTACGACTATTCGAGAGTGGCATACGAGTACAAGGGGCTTTGCATTGTTCCTCAAGAACCTGCCTCACCGAGAGGCACATACCAAGTCCATCGGTAGAGTGACGTCATGCCGAACGCGGAGATGAAGAGCAACATATGGCCACTTCGGACCGGTAGCCGTCGTGAAGGCATGCCGCGAGGTTTGATACCTAATCGGGAAAGACCGGCTACTTCGGTGTGGCTTGGAGCGAAGCGCGCGCTTGGCCGAGCGGCGTCAAGTGGCCCTATTGTTCGCCGAATGCGGAAGATGTTCCGAGATCTACGCACGAGGCATCGGAAAGACCGTGCCGAGCTTCGAGTAAGCGTCGCGCACCGTCGAAGGTGTTGAAGAGCGTCGAAGGCGAAATCGAAGTGTTGGGAGACTGAGTCGAAGTACCGGGCGGGATGCGAGTGCCGAAAAGAGGTGAATTGGGGCCCAGAGGGGCTTGGCGCCTATCAGTGTTCAATCGGCGATAGTCCTGTACGGGTCGAAGCGTCCCTTCCTTCTTTTTGATGAAGAAAAAGGGGGATGAGATTGGTGACTTCGACTCCCGTATGTAGCCCTTCGCTAACTGCTCTTTTAGGAACTTGTCCAGTTCCTCCTGCTCGTTGCTCGATAATGGGTATACCTTTGAATGGAACGTGGAGTAGCCAGGCACGAGTTCGATTGCATGATCGTACGGCTTCCTTTCGGGTAGCCGTTCTGATGCTTCTTTTGAGAAGACCTTCAGAAACTCGTGGTACTGTTTGGGTACTGACTCTTCGGCGGTCTTGACGACCTTCTTCTTGATCTCTTCCTCAATGAACAGCTGGGAATACGTATGCCCTGCTGCGACGAACAGCTGAGGGGCGCCAGGGAGCGTGATACCCCGCTCCCAGGCTTCAATCAAGTCGGTCTCATCCCATTCTACTTCCGCCAAATCTTCTTCAGGTTCGAAGTCCGGGAGCACCTTGCTCCGGCAGGCGCCTATAACCGACCGTTTGGACTTCGGCGAACACCTGCGCGCCATGGGCCTGACCCCCGTATCACGCGCAGTTGCTGCTTGCTCCATTTGGCCAGTCTTCCTGGCACTGCACGTCTCAGGGCATCGTGATAATTTCAGGGAGCCCGACTCCCAATCGATTTCAGGGTTGTGCTCTCGTAGCCAATCCAACCCGACGATCACATCTTCTGGACCTATGTCCGTGACCGTGAACACCGTCTTCTCGACGTGATCTCCTATTTGCATCTGTAGTACTGCTACTTCCGAGATGCTTCCATCTTTATTGAGGGTGCCGTCGATATTGTATAGCGGAATTGGTTCCTTCAACTTCCGTGTTTGCACCTTATTCTCTACTATGAATCACTTGTTGATAAACTTCGTGGTGGCTCCGCTGTCCACCATTGCAACTATATCTTTGTGCCGTCTTTCTCCTTTAAGGTGCACCGGGATGTGGAAATGCTGGGACCCATGGTCCAATTCATACACATTTGCGGTCGCCAATACATTGTACAGATTATTATTACGCGGCCCGACGCGTGTGGCACGAAGCGCGGACCGGATCAAAAAGACTCCTCCTTCATCGCCCGATAATGTTCGAGCTCCTCACGCATCGACTTCATCTGTGCTATTAAGTCCGCCAGCTCGGAACTTTCCGATTTCGCTGAAGCGGTGCTTGTACTCGCCGAGGATGAAGCGACGGGGGCGCTTGTCGCCGCCTGGGTGGAACCCAAAGCAACCGTAGCCCACGCGTCGGCGCGTTTTGTGTAAGGCTTGTCCTTACAATTGGGGCACTCGAAACGTCAGTACCCTTGCTTCCCACAGCCGAAGCATGTGCTGGGGAAGTCTCCTTTTCCAACGGCCGCATTGATGCTGGCCGAAGCTGCATGCGTCGAGGGTGCACCACCACGTGCCCCTCCGCGCCCTCGTCCTCGAGCCGAGAAGAAGTTGTTCAACTCGGGCCGACGGGCCCGGCTGATGTCGAGGATCTGCTCGACCTCAGTGGCTTGCTTTTCAGCGGCTCGCCACGTGGTGAAGGTCTCGAGCTCGATCTTGCGATATACGCGGGAGGGGATGCCACTCAGGTACTTGTTGCGTAGCTCCAGGTCCCCATACCCGGAACGGTCCGCCGGACCCTTGAACAGCGCGGAGAACTCCACAGCGGTGCGTTTTTTGCGGACCGACTTGTCCGCGCAGAGCTTCGCCAGCTCTACTTGTGCTGCCGCTGCGTCGTCGAGATTTCCGAAGCGGGCCTTAAAGGCAGCGGTGAAGGCCGCTTCGTTCCTGAAGGGGGTCGTGACCCCTTGTACGCCCATCTGTACCAACGCGAGTTGGGCAAAGTAAGGCGTGGCCCAGGCGCGTGCATCGCCATCGAGCAGGCTCAGCGCAACTTGTACCTTGAGTTCGATGGTTGTCAACGACGTGTTGATTAACCAATAGATATGGAGTTGCGACAAGAACCTGTCGCATTCGATGACGGTCTTGCCATCGTATCGGAGTGGGAGAAGGAGCTTCAGGGTCTCCTTGTCGGGGGCGGCTGTGGGGGAAGACATTACCGGCGTCGGGGGGGACGGAGGACGCTGCGGGGGCGGAGGCGGCTGTGGTGGCCCTCCGCTGGTCGAACTTCAAGAGGAGCGAGTGCTCGAGCGGCCTCTCGGCGGAGTCGGCGGTGAAGGCGCCGAAGGAAGTTCGGCGGGGGGGTCACATACGTCAGGGACTGCTGACGTGGGGGCGAACGCTGTTGGCGAGGTGGACCCAGCAGAATCCTCGGACTCGGACTCCGAGACTCCTTCTTCACCTGCACCCTTCTCAGGCTCAGGCTCTGGCGCAGGGTCTGGAGGGAGATTTCCTCATACTTCACTTGGGCCGGCGACGACAGTTTGAGGGAGGCGGGAGCTAGGGGAGACAGGGCGAGAGTGCCTCGAGGCAGATCAAGATGCAAGGGTGCTTCGAGGGCCGAGTGGGTGTTGTGCCCGTCTGATCGCCTTGTAGCACGGGTAATCTTCCGCGATCGATCGGGGCGTCCGGTTGGGGCACGGCTGCTGCTCACAACGGTAGATAACAGTCTCAGGGCCGTCCGGGATGTAGACGTCGATGAAGTCCTGAGAGTCGAATGCATGGACTTGGCCTTGGCAGGCAGCCACGTTGGATGGGGGGAGGAAGGGGAGGTGCGCGTACTATGAAAGGCCGTGCTATACTAGCTTACACCTACGGCGCCCAAGATGACACTGAGATTCGCAGTTCACGTAGGGCCCAATACTGCTTTTGACTATTATGCAGCAAAGGCTACGCGTCCGTGAGGACAAGTACCGCTCACTGAAGTGCAGGTACTGAAGAGTTCGTCTCTCTAGTGTTGGCGATGTATAGTAGGCTACCTACGTATCGTAAGGTATAGTGAGGGTGCGCACCACCCGACCTATAGGAGAGGAAGTGAGTGTGTGGGTTCCGAAAGAACGCTGGCAGCAGTGAGGAGTTTCGACCTAATGTCGCGACTTAGGATCGAGCGACAGTGGAAACACAGACTTTGAAGGATGCTGGGGGCGTTCGACTGGGTCTTCCGAAGCGATGGTGAGCAAGGCTCAAACCTAAGGCTAGGGACAAGAAATGTATTGGTTAGTACAGGTAAGTAAAGGATACAAAGGAGCTTACTGACCTAGGGACAAGAGGTCAAAACTGAGGTCCCTAGGGCAGCAGAGGCCGGCTTATATACATGGGGAGATAAGGGCAGGCTGTGCGCGTTGGTCCGTGCACAGCTGGTCCGTGCGCAGCATGCTGACGCGGCCCCAGGGGCCTGTCACGAGTTGATACGGCGCCTAGCCGTTTTTAATTTTTTCCTTTTCACGGGCTCGAACCCGCGACCTCTGTACTACTTGTGTCACGAGTTGGTACGGCGCCTAGCCGTTTTTTAATTTTTTCCTTTTCGCGGG